AAAAAAAAAAAAAAAAAAAAAAAAAAAAAAAAAAAAAAAAAAAAAAAAAAAAAAAAAAAAAAAAAAAAAAAAAAAAAAAAAAAAAAAAAAAAGGAGTGGACATACTGATCGCATCTACAGGGCTTCCGGATACCGGTGTCGTCACGTATACTTTCAATCTTTCCAGCAAACCTGAGATGAATTCAAGCCAGACTTTATATGGACTGGAACGGAACAATAATTCCTCCGTTTGTAATAGCATGTATCACAACACTCACTGGAAAACAACTCCCCTCGGCTCAGAAAGAATTCTTGGAATTCCTCAATATTTGAAGCTCAGTTGATTATAAATTTGGGTCAATCTATTACCCAGGCTTCTGGCTATTGCCCAATACCCAGAAGTCATGGTTGGTGGAACTAGTTGGCCAGTGTTAGGGATCCAGCCCCTGAACCACCTCGAGCATGCCACGCGAATCATAGCCGAGGCCACAGCACTGCTGGAGTTCGACAACACCAAACGCGCCAAACTATCAGCCCCATCGCTGGATGCCTTTCTCAACAGCGTAATTACCTTAGCTAAGAAAACCCGCAAGCAACCATCCGGACAGGAGATTTTGGGAAAGCTAAACAGCCTACAGCCCGATCGTGGAGGACATCACCCTCATCAAGAACGCCGTCAACAACGTACTCGCACCGCCTGCTCCCGTCGCACCCAATGCAGCTACCCGCATCGCCTCCTGAGCAGACGTAGTCCGTTCGGGCACGCCCTTGTATCCGTCGACGCCGAATAGCAGAGCCTCCACAACCGCAGGTGTGAAAGACCGTAGTGAAACTGGATGCGAACGCGGCGGCTGTACTCCGCCAGGTATCGGTGGAAGACCTATGCAAAAGGGTGAATGATGCATTGGGATCACGGATAAATCTGCTCGGGAAACCCCCTCAGGTCATAGCCGCAAAGCAACTGAAGAGCGGGGACGTAGTACTGCATACCGCAACCACGGCAGAGGCAGACACTCTGAAGGCCACCGAAGAAGAATGGGTCAAAGTCCTCGGAACGTCCGCGAGGGTGGTTAGGCCCACATACAGAGTGATTGTACACTGCGTACGAACCAGCAAAGAATCGATCGACACCGACAACCAAGAAAAAGCCATTGAAAAGCTTGAATCCGAGAACGCAGTGCTCCATGAGGGAGCGAAGGTAACTTACGTAGGATGGCTAATCAGAGAGGGAAGGAGGAAACAAGCCTCATTTCTCGTCGTAGAGTTTACAACGAAATATCACGCGAACCGGGCCATCCGCGAGGGACTGGTGTTGAATGCGATCCACCACGACTGCGTCGTATACGATAAGACCTGCCGACTCAAGCAGCTATAGATGCCGCGAATACGGCCATATCGGACCTCAGTGCGACGCCGAAGAGCGATGCGAATATTGCGCAGGAAAGCACAACACCAAAGAATGCACGGTGAAAGAGACCGACCCAAAGCCGGCACCGTCGTGTGTGCTGTGCAAAGGACTACACACGGCATGGCGCAATGCCTGCCCGTGGAGGAGGAAGGAAATGGCCAGGATAGAACAGGCCCGACAGAATCGCCCTTTCTTCTACTACGAAACGGACGACTCCGGAAGGTCGGTAGCTGGAGCCCGCATAGGAACCCCGACGCATGCCCCGCTACGTTCATCGAGCCTGGTGGGAACACAACACAACACCAGCACGCCAGTGAGCTCACAGACGAGCGTGACCTCTCGCTAACCGCGCCCGTACGATCTGAGGAAGCCATACAGCCATCCACGCGGATAGCAGGACAGGAGTGGCAGACGGCGCATAAGAGACGACGCACTGTCGCGCGTCGAGCTCTCGCGGAAAGCTCCGCGAATACTAGAAGAGTGAAGGTGACGACGAATCGACAATCGACCTCTCCCTAGCCACGCCCAGACTCCAAGACAGCCTTATCCGCTGCCTCCCACGGGACAACTTAGACCACGACTCAGACCGTATCCCTCTCGAGACGGTCCTGGCAATACCAACCCGCGAGCGCACATTTCCCGAAAAGTGGAACTGGGAATTCACCGATCAAGAACGACTCCATCGCGTCCGGGTGCAAACCTGCCAGACTTGACGATGTTGATCACAGCCGTATTACGACCGGGATAAACCAAGAACGGCCCTGTGGGGTTTTCATCAGTTACGTTCGTTTATGCCGTTAAAGTCAAGGCGATGCACATCAATCAAACTCCGCCTGTGTTCATATCTTATCCTCGGGGAAGAAGCCGGATGCCCCAGTTGTGTATACTAGTTATAGTCGAGAAATAACCCACAATCGACTTCCCATAACACTGAAGTTTCATAGGAAAATGAGTGAGAAAGTCCCAGGTCTTGGGGCTATAGCAGGCGCAAACCCACAGCTACAGATAATAACGCCTGGAGGAGAATATGGCGAAGGGCACTTAAAGCAGCAGGGGACCTTTGCAATGCACCGGAATAAGGGGATCTGGCGGGAATGGGAGATTGCTAGGGCAGTTAAAAGGGAAAGAATTTATATAAATTGTATGTCCTGGCTCCTACACTCATGAAGAAAAGCTTAAGATTTTGGTAAAAATTGGTCCAACGAAAGAGCTCTCACTGTTCAATGTTCAAGTGCGTTCCGCCTAGTCACAGCGGTCAAAGCTCTCTTTCAACCAACGTTCGACCTCAATATAGTCACTTTTGCGATCCCGGAGCTTCCGATGCCTACTCTCTGCAGCTACGTTTACAATCGCCATGGGGGTCTGTACGAGCGTGTTGTGCAGGCTGGCAGGCTGACAGTATCACAGGGCACCGAGAAATAAAGACGATTTATTCACTAAGGGTTACAATTTCCGACTGTAGTTATTCGCCTAGATCTTGATCGTATCCGTTCCCCAGTAGTCGATCGTCTTTTCGAAAAGCTCAAGTCGCAGTTCTCTCTTACGTTGCTGGAGACGATATAACTGCGGGATGGCGGAAGACTGAGCGGCCATCATGGCGATCCTGAAAGTTAGGCCCCCGAATTCCTTGTGGAAGCGAGCGTCTGGTGCGATATCGCCGGACAGAAAGACGAGCCGGTAAAGGGAATAAGCGTTCAACTGGTTCTCAGTGCGGCGTTTTAAACTATCATCAGATCCCTTGGTCCTCCGAGAATCGGCGAGCAACGGATGGCCCACAGCAGCCGCTATCTTTACCACCATTTCTGTCCAGTCCTTGCCACTTACTCTGGTAGAAGACTATTACGAATGACTCCACCCACTCATCGCTGCTGTAGAAAGTAAAGGGCTAACGTTACTACCGCTGTCTAATACAGCTATTGGTTTGCCGCGTTTAGATATGGGATACTCTCAAACTGGACCGCAATGGATGATTGACTGGTCATCGGAAGATCTCCAGAAGGAGTGATGATCTGCTTCGGGCACTGGCGGTCGACTGGCCGTTCTAGGAAGTGTGGCCTTGCTGCCTCGACGATTCGCGCAATCTTCCGTCGGTCAGCATCCCGGTTATGAACATCCTCTTTGTAAATGGGCTCTGTGGACGGGTTGCCCCAAACACTACCTGCCTTGTCGTACCTCCCTCTTCGGCTCTTCCTGATTAGTTGCGCTAGATCAAAAGCCCTGAGGTTCCTTTTATCGTGCAAATATCGATCGGTGTTTCGAGAGAGGAGTATCTTGGTGGTCTCTAATCCGCTCCAAAGGGACGCCTCCATGGGCGCAGTTCTTCCATACTTATTCCTGACAATTACTTCACTTCCATGCCCGAGAAGAAGAAGAATAGTACTTGCGCTTCTCTCTCGGGAAGCCATAATTAGAAGAGGTGTCTCCGTTATGATTTCTCTGGCGAAAATGACCTTTCAGATCGCTTCTTAGATAATGTTCCACTTGGTGGCTCTGCTCACGTCCAAGGCAACAAGACATCCCGAGAAGCACAGCGACTCTGATCGCGAGATACTGACCTTCGCTATACAATTTTATGCAGCCGAACAGGGGCCCTGTATCTACCTTCCAAGTTGTCCAACCATTCGCTTGGGCAGAGCGACCCACAAATCTGGACGAATCTATTGTACATTGTTGCTCCACCGGCCCGTTGCTGACAGCGGGCCGTACAGAACGATCCGTACCTTTAGAAAGTCAAGAGCACTATGACAACGAGCGAACACCATCCACGCGGCGAAGCAGGCGTACCTTCCTCACTAGGTACAACGTACAAGATTTATTCATACTAAAACCCATCATGTCTATTCAGGCGGTGGTCTCGAGCTTGTTTAGGCGACCGGAACGATCGTCCACAATCGGTGCACCAGCTATGTCTAGCGGTGTCATGCTGCCGAAGGCTAGTTCTGCTGTCAAAAGTCCTAGTGCAGAGCCTGCAATAGAAATGACTGAGTGTTTGACGCACGAATGGAACAGGAACAGAGCGTGAGACACTCTGACTAACGATCTGATTGTCACTAACTATTCAGGTGACATTCTGGACAAAGGCGCCCCTACCATGGTCTCTTCTCCAATTCGATAACTCTTTCTATCAAAGCAGTGGATAGCTCGTACACAAACTCTGGGTGATCTTTTCGGACGTCATCAAACTGACGAAAACCCTTAAGCGTACCGAGATGTCGAAGGGCGAATTTTATAAGAATTTCACGTAGGTCTGATCTGGGCGGACACTGGGACCCATAGACATCGCTGACAACTGCGACAAATCCGCAGTCGTCCCAGTCATTTCTCAGGTTGGAGTCCAACTTCCTTTTGGATATATCTTTCAATCCTTCAATCAAATATTTGTCTGCCATAATGTAGATTTGCACGTTGATCTGCGCACGCCTCCACTGCCATGAAAGGACACCTTGGGCAATACGCTCCGTCGGTGATATTCCCTCTTGGTTCGCAGCATCATGATCCTCCGCAGCAGTTTCACTTTTCGCAGCGGGATCATCCGTAATCTCTGGCGAGTCGTCATAGTCCGCACGGTAAAGGAAATCAAACATTTTTGAAACAATGAAAGGGTCATCGTGAATGTATACGACGCGCGTTTTAGCTTCCTATGTGGAAGTTAACGATCAGTCTCTGGGTGTTACCGCAGATACATCAACCTTAAAATCACCATTTGCAGCCTTGTCGAAAAACGGCGACTGTGGGCACACAATGCAACGATGAACGTGGAAGCTTGATGATTGGCATCTGACGGTGAGGTCTGAGAACTGCCCATTCTCTCGTATGCTTTGAAGTATATGTCAGTTCATATGCCAAACTAAGATCAAGAGTTATTACCGAGACAACAGCGCTCTGAGCGTACCAAACTCTGTAGTCATGATGCATTAGGATTCGTCGCTTGGTATTGCTTCACTTTTGGGTGATGTAGTCGGGTGTTCAGCCTCGCGGCCCCTTAGCCGGATAAACACTTAATCCAATATTGATGTTTGCACCACTCACATGCCTTGGCGCTGGGGTCAGTCAGCGTGGACTGTCAAGCTCAATCCTCGCAAATCATTTTAGGAAAAGGTTCTCCTGAGAACCCCTATTGCGAAAGTACTAAAGACCTCATCGTTTAGAATGCCTGTACCTCTGGATATTGCTTTCATCTGGACTGTCGAGATCCTTGCCGCGGTTATGTGTACGTTGGTAGTACTGTCACCTAATGCACGATGGGTTTGAAAATAGACAGATGTACTAAATGGCATGGCGGAACCCGACAGAACTAGCTCTTATCTTCAAAGCGCATACCGTAGCACAACAATGCACAACCGCCTCGGTCGACCCAGCTCGGTGATAAATTAGTATCTGGTGGCCACTTACAGAATACCGCCACAAGATCTCCGAGCCGGTAGCATTCCACTACTAGCCACCTAAACTTACGGAAGATAAAGGGGGAAAAATGAAGACAGAAAGGAAGTAAGGAAAGAAACTGTCCCGAAAGGCAAAGCCAGTCAAGTTTCCGCTTCGTAAGGATACTCTGCAACCTTATCGCTGCCGTTACGAAGTATCCCCATAGTAACTGAGACAGCCATGGGAGAATCACTTCAAGCTAACACAGGTGTGTGTAAAGGATCCCTCAGCACTCCGTCAAACCCCACCTATTTCTTCCCACCAGGAGGAGTATAAGTCGAGCCACCATTGCCGTTATTGTAGTAAGTGTTCCCATTGGGGTTGGAATAATAGTAGGATCCGTTACTGGAGGAAGAAATTTATTAGAACTGGTTTGGCAAACTCCAGGTAGTAGTAGAAGAAGAATAAAACAGGGCGGCGTCCACGCGGTGTATTTTAAATAGACGGGGAAGTAACGGCTTTTCTCTACCTGTCGGTGAGGTCCATTGAGAAATCACTGCATGCTGAACTGCATTGTGTCTAACCCTCAAAGCCTAGATCATACAGTAGCGTTATTGAGCAACAGGCAGTCAACGGGAGGGGTAAGCCTATTTGATCTGTCTGGAAAGAGCTTTTGCTGACTCATTGCTTGGCCGTGTATTCCTCTGAGCGAGAACGTACAACGGTAAGTTGTCTTCTTTAGTGCTTGTATTAGACGAAATGTGGGTTTCATGAATGATGGAATGATGCGATCAAAATCGTCTCTCGCTACGGTAACTCTACTTGCTGAGAATTGGAAGAGGGATCGAACGTTTCTTTGTACTGACGTGGCAAATCTAGGTATCAGCGAGCGGGCGCATTTCTCGGAGACGAATGAGCCTGAAACCGACATGTATTTATGCCTGAGACAACAATAAACTCGGCCCGAGAAAGCTGGTAAACAACCAGACATGCATTCTCCCGCACTCTATTCCCCACGCCCGCTGAACAACACCCCCCAACGCTGTTGAGTTTTTTCACTCGGTTGTCTACTAAGTGCTCCTTTCAAAAAGGGATGGAGGAAACAATCCGAATTGCGACGTCAAGTTGAACAACAAAGGCTGCGAGAAGCGGCAGAGCGCCGCGAGGAGGAAGAGAGACTAGCACAAGAAGCGGCAGAACGGCGAGTGTAACCCAACACACTATTTTGCCTCCTCGATCGCTGCCACAATTATCTGTCTTAGGCAATCCAAGTTGAGGCGGATGCGACCCTCACGACTCAGGGCGACGCGGCTGTTCCAGTGAACCGACTCTACCCCAAGCACATCGTCCCCTGGCGTGACTTCCCCCAACTACAGGAACAAGTGGAGGGGAAATTCAACCGTAACGCTGCCTTTACCTCGCGCCTAATATTCCCTTCTGATACCCAAATTGATTATGCCGTCACGAATATCCGGAACAGGCCGCCTTATTCAGAGCGTCTCTTCGGAATTTTGAGCGAGACACGGTAGACAACTTTGTCGAAAAGGTCATTGAGGCTTTGCGAGACGATGAACTCCTTCGACATGAGTTTGGCATCCGAGGCCGGGTCACTTCCATGATCGCGCAATCCCGTCGGAAACTTCGCTGGAGAACAGCCTGGAGCGAATGAATATCGAGGACGCGCAGACACCCCAACGGCGAACACGAGGCTTGGAAGAGGCCGAGGAAGGGGAAGAGGAGCTGCGCAGAAACAGAAGAGGGATGGCACTGCGCGACGACGCAATCGGCGCGCCGACCAGTTCTGCGTGCACCTTGTGGCGGATGAACGGCAATTACCCGTGTATGCAGTGGAGTTCAAAGCGCCGCACAAAGTGACGATCCCCGAACTGGTGGCGGGTCTACACCCGATAGATCTGGATCGCGATGTCATTGACCAAGAGGGCGACACGTTTGATTTCTATGCCACCCGCCTGGTCGCGGCCGTGGTCACTCAGATATTCTCATACATGATCGACAGTGGCGTTCGATACGGCTACATCTGCACCGGGGAGGCTTTCGTTTTCCTTCGTATCCCACAGGATGATCCCACCATTATTCATTATTTCTTGTGTATCCCGAATCAGGATGCGCTGGCGGATGTGCAGGCGGACGATGAAGTGCGCCTCCACCGGACTGCCATCGGTCAGGTGCTTGCGTTCACGTTTCAAGCGCTGGCCGTCCAACCTCCGACTCAATAATGGCACGATGTGGCACACAACCAGCTAACAACCTGGAAGGTCGAATATCTCGACGTGTTGAGAGAAATTCCCGAAAGTTTACGTAAAGACCCACCAGCGTCTAATTATCGGCCCTCTCACTGGAAACCAGATCGGAAAATACACAACACACGCGCTCGCGCTCGCGC